CTGCAGATAGTAGCCTTCATAGATACCAGCATGGGGTCCTACTATCTATAAGAGATAAAGAAAAAAAAAAATCAGTTTATTACATGACCAAAACTGACAGAAGAATATCATTAAGTATTACATTTAAAATACTGAATATATATCAACTGTTTCTAAGAGCCAGAACTGTTCTCAGTCTCCAATATAAGTATCTGTTGATTCCAGTAATCCTCAGAGAATTTCAAACTGAACCCATTATTTAAGCTATGGGAGTAGACTGATCTCATTCTGCTGGCCATGTGTGTGGATGTCTTTATTTTAGTACTGCTCAGTTATTATGAGTCCTGTTTCCACTAAGTCTGAACTACTGGGCCCATGGATCAAAAAGAATCTTCAGTTTAACAAAAATCAACAAATTAAAACTCAAGAAAGCAATGAATCAGACGATCAAGCACATCAGAGACAAGGTTTATGTTATTGAACATAAAAAGAACTTCAATTAAGATGAGTGTCTTTGTGATAGAAAGATCAATTACAGACAGTTGGAGAGAGAGCTCAAACATGAGGATCAATCCCCTACTCTTGGACTAAAGAAACCAGTCAAACTTGACAACACATCTCCAGTTATCAGTTATCACTTACCCAATCCATACACCTGAGGTACCAAACCACCTGATAAATGTAATGCCAGACAGGATGCCCCCAACTATATTTCAGATCTCATGAGGTACCTCACACGATGTGAGCTCATCACCACCAGATAAACTAAGTTTAATGACAAGCAAGAGGATTATTGAGCATAGAATCATTCTTTTTAGGGTGCCCTGAGAGATTTTGGCCTCACGCACAAGGAAGAAATGAACCTTCTCATTCACAGAAGGGTCATTCACAAATAAAGCCGTCTCTTCACCTGGAAAGGGAGAAGAATGTTGGTATTTGCCCATCTTCAGTGTGTATCACACTAAAAAAAACCATGTAAAATCAAGGTGGTCTTTGACTCCAGTGCCAAGTACAACAGAGTATCCTTTAATGATGTGCTAATCAGTGGACCTGACCTTAAGAACACCTTGGTTGGAGTCCTTGCTTATTTCCATAAGGAATTGGTTGCAATCACAGCAGATATTGAACAGATGTTCCAGTGCTTCCTGGTGAACAAAGAACACAGGACCTTTCTAAGATTCCTATGGTATTGCAACAATGATCCTACCAACAAAATCGCAGAATATCAGATGAGGGTCCACATCCTTGATAACAGCCCATCTCCTGCTGTGGTGATCTACTGTATAGAAAACAAGAAAAACCAGCTTATGATAGTTGAGGAGTAAGTCAACCGGAATTTTTACATTAATTGTCTAAAATCACTCACTACAGTCAAAGCTACAGTCCGATTGCTTCAAAAAATACAAGGCATCTTTGCTGGATCAAATTTAAGATTGCATAAAATCACCTCCAACAGAGGACAGGTCATGACCACCTTCTCATCGTGGGACCTTGCCAATGATCTTAAGGACTTGGACTTGAGTTGGGACAAACTACCCAAAAAGCACAGCCTTAGTTGGCAACCAGTCTACTGCAGAAAGAAATGGCAGCCTTATGCAGAAAAAACTTCAATCATGAATTAAAAGAGACACGATCGCCCAAGAGTATATTACGTATGATACTTAACTGACTAATCACTTAACATTTAACGCTCTGCATTAGTCACTACTTTCCTTTCCTCTGTATTGTTTTTCAAGACTCCTCTCTACTGCACTACTTAATTTCAGACAGTCATTTTCTGTTACCATAGTAGGATATGACAACACAACTGCAAAATTCAAACATGCTATTCATCTGAATCATTTGCAGTGGCAGGATAAATTTTTTGCTTTACAAGCAAAATCACCTCCAGTATGTTAAAGGTTAAAGAACAGATGATAAAAAAATGTGTGTATATAATATTTACCTTGTAAATGCAAAAAAGAATATACAAAATAACCTCAGTTATGTAACTTTCCTCATGGTTAAAATATTCCACTTAATTTGTACATCTATCATGAAACTACAAAAACACCTCAGCACTAACAAATTCTACAAAGACAGTTTTAATCATTTGAAGTTGAGTATTTAAACTTGATAAATTTATAAATCAAGAAAAAATAATAACAATGGTTTGCATTATCCTCTAATCTGATTATGGGTTCAAATTTCACTCTTCATGGATTTGCTGATACCTATTTTTGTTTAAAGCATGAGTGAACATTAAATGAGCTTATGATAAAATTTAATAAGTATAAAAAAAAAATTTAAAAAAATATAAATTTTAAACTTAACAACAATAGAGAAACTCAAGAGAGATTGTTTGTTATTCTGTATTAAAATGTAGCAAAAATGAAAAATATACTAAAATACTTTTATCACTGAGAAGTATCACTAGCCGATAATAAACCAACTCACTCAGTGGTAGATGATTAAAAATTTAGGTCAATTATTATCCAACATATCAGGTTTCAAGAAATTATTGATCAAAGAGACAGGTATATTTTTATCATTTTAAATGTTATTTTTAGTAGATACTCATATCTGAGTAGACTCTCTATTTATTTATTTCTATTTATTTAATAAATATAGTGTCTACTCAAATATCCACTAAAAATATCTTTTAAAGTGATAAAAATCTGTCATATGAATAAATAAAAAGATACTTCTACACTATATATATATATATATATATATATATATATATATATATATATATATATATATATGTGTGTGTGTGTGTGTGGTGGTGGTTTGTAAATGTTCAGGTTATCTGACCAAGAAAAAATAAAATTACTTTTTAGAGTTTGGTTATTTTTCAAACAACTTGTTCAAATTTTACAAGCATGAATATTCATTTTAAAGTGAAATAAAAGTCAATATGATTAAATCATGAACATGTGTCTTTATCTCGCATAAGATTCTCTTGTTGCCATTACAGGAAGGAATTTACTTAACAGCTGATGCCTAACAACTTAAAAGAAAAATAATATTGAGAGACAATTTATATATATATATATATATATATATATATATATATGAAGAAATATAGTTTTAAGGTGTGCTATATATTAAATATCTTAATTTAAGTATATTTTTCTTTATTTAGCCAGACACATTCAAATATCTGAATAAATAGACATTAAACTTTGTCAAATAATTGTATTTAATATTCTTTTAAATTTACTTTGTTTTAATATTCATTTTTTTAAAGTTACACTTTTATTTACTATAGATATGAAAATAAATTCAAGGGAATAGAAATTTTAAAAATACATATATGTATAACATTTCAAAAGTATCACCAAAATTAAAAAGTAAAAACGAGCAATAATAATAAAATAATAATAGAGAATAAGAATTATTACCTTTGTTTTTTACTTTTAAATTCTGAGAATCTTGAATGCATTTTAATCTTAAAGTATCTTCATAAATACAAATCATACGATAATTTTTTTACAAGAAGCTGAGTCTGTATATATATTTGCATTGCCATTAATTAATGTAGTTTTTTTAGTTTTAGCTGGAGATACACACAGACAACTACCCTTTATAGATAATGTATACTTTTGGCAGAAAGAATTCATTCAAATGTTTTATTGATTTTTTTTCTGAAAAGGTTTGTCTAATTTTTGTTTTTCCAATTTTTGCTTATAAACAGTCATACATCCAGATTAAATTTATAAAGAAATTATCAGGAAACAACCCCCCCACGAAAGCATTTTAAAATGGATGCAAATTTTTAAATTAATATGTTGCTCCATAGGTGTTGTCATGTTATGAAATCTATCAGACTAACTGGTAAGAAACTTAAAAAAAAAAAAAAAAAAAAAAAAACTATGTCCCTTACATATGATTACAAACATTTCTACACATCATTTGTCTTCAAAAAAAAAAAAAAAAAAAAAAAAAAAGCATGATGACATCATTATTACATTTTTCTCTATTGTAACTGACAACATTAGCATTCTTGATAATCTCGACAGGTGATCAAAAGTACATTAAAAAAAAACATTATAATTTTGACCAGTTTCTTTATAAATTTGATCTGGACATACAACTGCATATGCACCAACTGGGAAAATGTAACAAAAATTTAAGAAAAAAAAAAAAAAAAGAAGACATTTTTAGTAAAACTTATACAATTCATACATTATTTATATGGGCACATAGCTGAATGGTTACAAAACACAGTGTTCCAAACACAAGACCTAAATTCAAATTGCACCCTGGTTGATTTTGTCAGCGAAGTAACTTCTAGACAATACTGGCGAGAGAGAAAAAATCCTAACATGTACCACTGTTGGGAAGTGCCTGAAAACCCTACCACAGGCTGACCCAAGCTTTATAAGTGAAATTGGGTAGACAAAGCTATTTAAAAGTCATCAATAGCTTAACTAGCATGGATTTACAAGTCAGTGTGCTGAGAGACATTAACATACTGGTCTTTTCAACTACTGATCACACCAGATGATGTGCTCTCTATATCTCTATTGAAGAAACACAAATGTGCCCGAGTGGATGCTTACAACAGATTTGCAAGCTACTCAAGCAGATCAATATACTCAGAAACAAGTAAATAACATTTAAAATACATTGAAAATTATCATGAATGCTGCCATATGCTAAAAGTTTTCAATGTATTTTAAATGTTATTACTTTTCTCCATTGTTTTCATATGTTGTGTTTGTTTTTTCTTTTTGTGCACCTGGGGAATGCTGCCAAATTTCATTGTACACTGCAGTGACAAGAAGAAATAAATAAAATTTCTACCTCCTTACTTTTTATTAAGAAAAGGAATAAGGAAGAAAGCAAGAAAAAAATGTTCTTCTTTTTCACTTATATATATGAAAAGTGTGTGTATATTAATATAAATAAATATATATATGTATAATTATTTATATATTATATGCGCGTTACTTATAAGAAAGCGCTCAATATCAGAGATAGAGCTAACATATTTGGTTGGATAGATGTGAGTTTGTGACCCTGGGTTTCACGCTTTAGCGATCGCCAGACAAACTGATTAATTTTTTAAAATTTTGGGTTTATGTAGATTGCATGTATTGGTGTTATTGTGGAAGTGGTGGGGGAAACTTCGTTGTTTTGTCATCATACTAACGCAAACATTGATGTATGCAGACACATATACATACTTGGTCGTCCGTCGGGACTCATACATATATAAACATATGTGGGCAGTTTCGGATATGACATATGTATGTATACGGGTGGTGTTGTGTCTATACATACGCATTTGTATGTTGAAATTCAAAGATTGGGAGTGTAGCAAAGATTTCTCGTGAATGTATACATGTCATATTTTTATTTTTCCAGTGAATAAATTTCTTTGCATGTATGTATATACGTGTCGTGGGGTTTGTGTAAAATTATGATAGGTAAAAATTATCATTATTTATATTTATTTTTAAATTTTTGAAAAAAAAAAAAGGGGGGGTTATTTGTTATATTTAAAGCTGGTTATTTGTTTGTTTTTGATGACTGTGTATATATAACAGGTAGAAATTTGTAATCCTTATTGGTTATTTTATATGGTGATGTTTAATATTTAATATGCTGGGTGAGAGGGTAGTTTAATTTAATAATTATAGCGGGTCTATATGATATGATGTGATAGTAATGTTTCAAGGGATTGGAGACAATGATAATATAATTAGCTAATAGTTATTGTAAATTGGTAGAAATGATTAGTAACGGTGGTGGGAGAATGATAAAACCATAAATGTAGTTATAGTGGTGGTAGCTTGAACTAAAAAGTGGTTGTTGGTGTTTTATTTTATTTTGTTATATGTATTAATTTATTTTGGTATAAAACCTGATAATAGGTATTCTGTGTAAAATTATGGTAGTTGAAGATTGCTATAATTTTTAATTTACAAAAATATTATTGTTATTATATTAAAGC